AAATAAAAAATTAAAAAATAAATAAAATAAAGATAAACAGCAAGTTAGATGTTGGTGCCCAAAGGTACCCTTGATTTCCTCTCGTTCCAGGGCTGCATGCAGGTGCTGGTGACGTATGGCGGCGACCCCATCCCTAAAAGCCCTTTCACCGTGGGCGTGGCCGCTCCGCTGGATCTGAGCAAGATCAGAATTAATGGGCTGGAGAACAGTAAGTGCGTGGATGCAGGGGAAACGGGTCACTGAAGACCACCCACCGGGGCCGCCAGTTAGATACCTTTCACAAGACAATTTGCAGGGAAGCAGCCTCTGCCATAAGAGACCTTGCAGTGGGACGGACGTGGGTGTGAACTGGGGCCGTGCAGCGGGGTCGTTCTGGGACCTTACCTGCGCTTAACCTCCCCGAGCCTCCATGCCCTCATCACACAGTGGGGGAGGGGTGGTCAAGAACACTGACATTCGTGGGAATATTTTGAAAGGTAAATGAGCTCATAATTCAGGGGCTGGCACGTTGTCAGCCTTCGGTAACTGCTGCCATCACAGTGGGATTGTTTTCATTGCAAAGAGAAGTTGGGACGCATTGCTTTCTGGTGACTTTGTACTGTGCTCGCTGTCCTTGGCCATGGGATCCACATGAGGGTGGACAGTAGCATAAAAGCCAACTCCCTGGCACTCAGAAACCGCGACTCTGATGCAACCCCCACCCCCACCCCGATATTCCTTTGGCTTGGTAGGTATCTTGTTAGCGTAAGCTCATCTGTTTTAAAATGTTTTCATTTGTTGTAGTAGGGAAAATTCCAAACATACAAAAGTAAAGACAGTAGAATATAAATACTGATGTACTTACCGCTCAGCTTCAGAAGTTCAACACATAATCATGAAATTCTGCTTTTTACACAAAGTAAGGCATAAATCCATTTTCATCTTAAAAAACACCGTTGAGAGTAAACTCCACTGTCTCCATCACCTCTTATTCTTCCTGGGGGGAATCAGGGTTATCTGTTCAGTGTCTGTCCTTTCACACTTTCTCTCTACATCTGTATGGGCACATGCGCCAGCAGCAAATGTTCGGCAGTGTTCATTTTGCATTAAAGTCATGCCTGTACACCCATATGTTTGCAGCCTGCCTTTTGACATGAGCAGTGCATCTTGGAGAATATTCACACCTCTGTCCCCTCGTTGGCACGATCTGCCATGTGGCTGAAGCCTGGCCACACCTCCGTAGCACGCACACAACACACCTGTTTTCAGGGTCACGTGGGGCTCAGTGCATACCTCCTGGGCAGGCCTCTTTGGTCTCAGTGGACCATCAGTGAGCACCTTCACTCACCTGTGACTCAAATGCACAAGCTGTGAATGAGGCCACCTCCCAGCTCTGGGTTCTGTGAAGCCGTCCCTGGAGGGCAGCCAGCTCTGAGCATTTGAAAGTCACTGGCCAGTCCTTTCATGTGTCTCCTCATTGCTGCTTCCTCTAAGACACCTAGGGCTTCAATTCCAGACCAGGAAAAACACAATGCCAATTAGGAAAAGCCTTTGGTCCATGGTGCTCCGAGGCCGCCTTGCTTGTGGTTCGGAGGTGCTGGTCTTGGGAGGCCCCATACTGCCCTAGAGTCAGGATTTCCCTGGCTTGTGGTGAGAGCCCTGTGCTCGCAATGCTGTCATTTTGGTTCAAAGTCCTTTCCCTTTTTTTGTCAAATACAACACATGGATTTTCCGTGGCCCTGCTTTACAGAGACCTTTCAAATATCGGCGCAGTACAGAGAGTCAGTTCTTCAGGCTCACTTCGGTGCCCCTGCATTGGCCAGCTCTGTGACTTTTGCCTTGTTGGCTGTGGGATTAAATTTGCTTCCAAGAATTAGTAAATAAAACACTGGCTTATGGGAATGTTTTGATAGAAAGTTAATACCAAAAGTAAGTAAAGCAGAGAGGACAGTGTCAGATTATAATTTACTAGTTGGCAGAGCAGATTGTGGGGTCCAGTAAATTTATGTGTGAGTCCCACCTTTGTGGTCTGCTGCGTACGGCACCCTGGACACATTCCTTAACCTCGGAGCCTCAGTTTCCCCATCTGTTAAAGCCATTGGTAACTAATAAATACCCTATAGTGTTGTGGTAAAAATTAAAGGAGGTGATGTGCTGTACTCAGGCCTGGGGTTAAAGTGCCGTCATTAAGTAACCAATCATTATTGGTTTTTAAGTAACCCATCATTATTGTATCAGTAAGCGTCAGCTATCATTGTTACTAATATCATCATTAGTTAGTAGCTGTTCTTATACTGGTTGTTATCCAGGGAAATGCTGATTATCCCGACTCAGTCTTGCTTCTTGTCCTTGGTATCCGCCCTTGCTTGTTGCCCAGGCTGAGATAATGCCTCGTGTCCAGGGAACCCTCATTGTTCTGCTCTCAGCTGTTCTTGCTGCTGAGAAGGGCCAGCTCATCACTTGGGCGTGTCCCCCTTTTCCAGGAGTCGAAGTTGGGAAGGGTCAAGAGTTCGCCATCGACACGAAGGGGGCAGGAGGCCAGGGGAAGCTGGATGTGACGATCCTGAGCCCCTCGAGGAAGGTTGTGCCTTGTATGGTGGTGCCCGTGGTGGGCCGGGAGAGCAGCACGGCCAAGTTCATCCCTCGGGAGGAGGGGCTGTATGCTGTAGACGTCACCTACGATGGACACCCCATGCCTGGGAGCCCCTACACGGTGGAGGCTTCACTGCCACCAGATCCCACCAAGGTCAGCTTTCGTTTCTGTACCGGGACTTGTCTCCTATCATCAAATAGAACACGGGAGTCCTTCACTGATCCTGCTTGACCAAGGCCTGTAGAAAATCGTTTTCGGAGGAAGGTCCATTCTCAACGGCTGACAGAAGTTGTCTCTCCTACAGTTCAGCCGGAGGGGTCCCTTGGGCAGCTGGGTGTCCTCCCCACTGCTCCTCTTGCTCTCTGGCGGTGAGGGAGTCCTCTTCCCTGCGTTCTATCCCCTTCACTTGTTAGCATAATAACAGCACTCGCTTCACCGTGAGCCTGTAAGGGTGAGGTGAGAGCGAGCCGGTGGAGGCCTCAGCCCCGTGTCCGGCACGCAGGGTGAGCTCACCCTGCAGAAGCGATACAGCTCAATATCAAAATATATGAGTGTCATTATCATTTCTTCCTAGTATAGCCCCAAATCAAGGGTTTTAGAGTATTTTCTGCGGTCTGAACGACATGAATCCTATAAAACAGTCTTATTTGGTGAGTCAGAGATGAAAGCCCCATCCCCACCCTCTTGTAAAAGCAGTTTTGTTTATTCGTTTGGTTTTTAAATTTTTGTATTAGACTTTAGTTTTTTGTGGCTTTTTTAAAATATATTTTTAAAAAGATTTATTTATTTATTTCAGAGAGAGAGAACGAGCACAAGCAGGGGGAGCAGGAGAGAGAAGCAGGCTCCCTGCTGAGCAGGGAGCCCAATGCGGGGCTCGATCTCAGGACCCTGGGATCATGACCTGAGCTGAAGGCAGACACTTAACCGACTAAGCCACCCAGACACCCCTAGACTTTAGTTTTTTAGAGCAGTTTTAGGTTCATAGCAAAATGGAGAGGCGGGTACAGAGATTTCCCTCCTACCCCCTGTGCCTCCCCGTTACCACCATCCCCCAGCAGCACGGTGCATTTGTTCATACTGCTGAACCTGACTGACAGCCTGTTCACCCCAGATACATAGTTTACAGGAGGGTTCACTCGGGGTGCTATGCATTCTTTGGGTTTGGACAAATGTATCATGACACATACCCACCACTCTAGGGTCATGTTTTATTATGGGGAGTTTGTTGAGGGAGGTGTAGCTGTCAAAGCAACAGGGAGGTCCATAAAACCATCCTACGAGCATTCAGCCCCGAATGTGTTTGTGAGATGAGACGTCAGGTCTCCCCCTCTGGCCCTGTGGTTCAGAAGTGGTGGGCACGGCAGGACGGGAAGTCACCCCCCATGATCCAGAGGACCACGCCTCTGTGCTGTGGCTTTCGGTGTTGACTGAGCTCACAGGCGTGTCTCCCTCTCGTAGCCGCTCGAAGCCTGGATTGCACTGTGGCTTTGGCTCGGTGTCGGTCTGACACGAGGTAGGCCCCAGGGAGAAGGGCCCCTCGAGTGAGAGGCAGCTCAGCGCTGAGTGCAGGCTGGGGTGGTAATTAGGGCTGGCCGAGGCAGAGTGTGACTTTTATTCTCTATTCAACCAGGTGAAGGCCCATGGTCCTGGCCTTGAAGGTGGTCTCGTGGGCAAGCCCGCTGAGTTCACCATCGACACCAAAGGAGCAGGCACTGGAGGTCTGGGCCTCACTGTGGAAGGTCCGTGCGAGGCCAAAATTGAATGTTCTGACAATGGTGATGGGACCTGCTCCGTCTCTTACCTGCCCACAAAGCCTGGGGAGTACTTTGTCAACATTCTCTTTGAAGAAGTCCACATACCTGGTTCTCCCTTCAAAGCCGACATTGAAATGCCTTTCGACCCCTCTAAAGTCGTGGCTTCAGGACCAGGTCTCCAGCATGGGAAGGTGGGCGAAGCCGGGCTTCTAAGTGTTGACTGTTCAGAAGCGGGGCCCGGGGCCCTGGGCCTGGAAGCCATCTCAGACTCGGGAGCAAAAGCCGAAGTCTGTATTGAAAACAACAAAGATGGCACCTACGCAGTGACCTACGTGCCCCTGACTGCCGGCATGTACACTCTGACCATGAAGTATGGCGGTGAGCTGGTGCCCCACTTCCCCGCCAGGGTCAAGGTGGAGCCCGCCGTGGACACCAGCAGGGTCAAAGTCTTTGGGCCAGGAATAGAAGGAAAAGGTGGGTTTCAGAAAAAAAAAAAGGGGTGGGGGGAGGTTGCAAAATAACTTGGGACTTAGGGGTCACCAGAGACTCAGAGCTGCAAACAGATATGCCCACGGGGGCCAGGTGGGGCATAAGAAAACACCCACCTGTGCTGTCGGTATCAGGAAGGGAGGGACCACAGCAGAGGGGGTGAGCACGTGGCATTTCTGCTGCCGACCCTCGCTTTGTTTCTCCAGGGGGAGCAGGGCCCCGCACTGCCTGCAGATGTTCCTATTTTTCTGGCAAAGCCAGAAATCTTGATTTTTACGTGGAAATTCAAGATCTTTCACTAATTGGAAAGGTTTAAAATGTTGTGCTCTTACCATACTTGCTGCAGAGTAGATCTGTCTTTTCCTTTTAACCTGTCCTAGAGCCCCACCTTTGTCCAAATAGTGTGCAAGGAGTCGTGTTGTCACAGGGTGGGGGCTTCCACAGGCCACCCGGGGAAGAAGCAGCTTTTGCAGGGTGGTGGCAGGGGGAGGTGGTCATTAATACTCTTGATTTGGAGAGTCAGAGAAAACAGCCGTCTGCTGTCCCTGAACTTAGACATAATGTACCTAAAGTGGCGAGAACTCTGGTTCTTGGATTTGGTCCGAGGTCCCGGGTATTCGTGACGTTCTCCTCTGTGTGATTGCTCCGCAGACGTGTTTCGAGAAGCCACCACCGACTTCACGGTCGATTCACGGCCCCTGACACAGGTGGGGGGCGACCACATCAAAGCCCACATTGCCAACCCCTCAGGGGCCTCTACTGAGTGCTTTGTCACAGACAATGCTGATGGGACCTACCAGGTAGAGTACACGCCCTTCGAGAAAGGTGAGTTGACTTCTTGGACATGACCATCATTCAGAGCTATGCTGGGCCATTTCCTTTGGTGACTGGAGCTCACTCCTGCCCTATGTGTCTAGCCTGTCTCAGCAGAAGCACGGACAGAGTGACAGGGACATGAGGAAATCTTCCCCAGCAGAGCCACTGCGCGCTCAGTGCCTGAAGTGCTGGCCCTGGTGTGTGACATCTGGGCCAGGGTTAGCCTCAGGCTCCTCTGAGCAGCTTATGGCTGATGTCTTGGCATAGTGCCCATTTGTATCTTTTTTTTGACATAATTACTTTCTTGAATATTAGCAATTACTTAAAAATTTGATAAATCATGAAAGGATAAAGAGAAAAATAAAAGCACCATATATTCTCATTACCTGGTTATATGATTCCTATAAATATTCTGGTATAGGTATATTCAGTCTCTTTAGGTAGATGCATGTATATTCTATTTCATGGATTTCCTTTTATCTCTTGGCTAATGACTGGAGGAAGTTTTTTCCAAAACAGGATGGTGCATTTAAGATGACTTAACTTGAATACAGACTTAGTGATACTTGCTTGGGGGAGAAGCCTTGCGTGTTGTGTATGTGTTGGGGATGGAGGGCTATGTGGCTGCCAGATGAACAGAAAGCATAAATAGCTATATTTTTAAAAAATCAGATCATACCAATATTGTACTATTTCTTTAACCTGCTTGTTTCCAATAACATGGGCCAGCGGATAGATGTGAGTGCTGGATGAAATTCTGTAGGAGGGACTTATTTCCCACAAGTAGATGACTCCTGTGCAAATATGTTTCTGCTTGTCATTTTGAACAGGTCTCCACGTAGTGGAGGTGACATACGATGATGTACCCATCCCACATAGTCCCTTCAAAGTGGCTGTAACCGAAGGCTGCCAGCCCTCTCGGGTTCAAGCCCAAGGACCAGGATTGAAAGAGGCCTTTACCAACAAACCCAATGTCTTCACCGTGGTTACCAGGTGAGCAAGGCCCTGGGATCTGTGTGTTGACTCTAAAAGGAGTAGCCCTGGGTAGTTTGTTTGTTTATTAATTTATTTTCTGCCTTCTTGCATTCTTTTTTCTTTTTTATTCAAATCTAATGAATTAACATCTAGTGTATTACTAGTTTCAGAGGTAGAGGTCAGTGACTCACCAGTCTTATATAGTACCCAGTGCTCATTACATCATATGCCCTCCTTAATGTCCATAACTAAAGGGGTCTTTTTTTTTTTTTTAAGATTTTACTTATTTATTTGAGAGAGAGAGAGAGCGTTGTGCGCACACGAGTGGGGGGAGGGGCAGAGGGAGAAGCAGACTCCCTGCTCAGCGGGGCTGATGGCTTAATACAGGGCTCAATCCCAGGACCCTGGGATCATGAACCCCAGCCAAAGGCAGACATTTAACCGACTGAGCCACCCTGGCGCCCCTCTAAAGGAGTTCTATGGGTATATTCTACATGTGTGTCCTAGTCTCCCAACTTTTGAGAGGCCTTTTTTTTTTCATGGTATATGAGGCATTTTCTTTTGTAGAGACTTATGCTACAGAGAGAGGCCAAGTATATTCTCAAAAAGTACCAGAAAGCCCTTGGTTATTGTCCTAATGTTGCTGAGCAAACCAGAACTAGATGGCAGCTCCTTAACTAGATAATGCAGAAACATACAGTCCATTTCCTAGTTAAGTGAAATATTAGAAGTTGTCCTACTAGAATTGGTCACAGATGCAATTAGATGTGAAAAACCAGTGAAGGATAAGCATTGGAAAGGGGGGATCAGAGCTGTCTGTATATTACATTGTTGAGAAATTTTCAGTAGTTGAGTCAGATTGGCTAACTGGGATTGTTGATAGATTTTAAATAATTCTGGCAATAAGCAGACTAGCATGAACCGCTAGTACCACTTCCCTCTTTTTTCCACCCTTTCCAGAGGGGCAGGCATTGGTGGGCTCGGCATAACTGTTGAGGGACCGTCAGAGTCGAAGATCAACTGCAGAGACAACAAAGATGGAAGCTGTAGTGCTGAGTACATCCCCTTTGCTCCAGGGGACTATGACGTTAACATCACATATGGAGGAGCCCACATCCCTGGTAAGCGATCCTGCAGAAAGGTACCCAAAGAATAACGATTTGGCATGAAAGCAGGTTTCATCTTGCTTATCTCTGAGTGGGAAAGAGAGTCTGAGATTTGCAGTCGGTGCAAAGGGAGAACTTTCCTTATGGCTGTATCTCCAAGAATATCCCAGCTTCCAGTAGGACCGGTAACCTGGCAAAACGCATTGGCTTGGCATTTTGACTGGAAATCATTCATGTGTTGGAGGACCCAGTTCTTAATTTAAGGGAAAACTGATTTTTTTTTTTTTTTTTTTTTTTACAAAGGTGAAAATCTCCACTTTATTCTGTGGTTGGTTCTTCTTCACCTTATACCTGTTTTCTTATTTTCTGCTTTTCATGGACAGTCCTGGTAGCCGAAAGAGACCCACAAACTCAAATTCTTATTTATTAATTTCTTTTCTAGTTCATGATGTAGTATATACACTTGCTGTAAAGCAGAGTTTGTCAGGTGCCTGGCTGGCTCAGTCAGTGGAGTGCGCAACTCTTGATCTCGGGGTTGCGTGTTTGAGCCCCACATTGGGCGTAGGGATTACATAAAAAAAATCAGATTTTTAAAAAAAACAAAAACAAGGTTTGTCATCCTCAGCACCATTGACATTTTGGGTGGGGTAATTCTTTGTTGTTGTGGGGAGGGGGGCTATCCTGTGCTTTGTAGGGTATTTAGTAGCATTCCACCACCCCTACCCACCTTCATTTTGGGACAACCAAAAATGTCTCTAGATACTGCCAAGTGTCCACTCGGGGACAAAATCACCTCTAGTTGAGAACCACTGCTATATATGATTGGAACAATGAGAAATATGACTTCAGTAACGAAGGGCCCTCCGACTTTCATGCTCCAGGGGGAAGAATCTCCATATTCTGGTTGTGTTTAATGAAATGGTTGCCATTCAGCAGCACACATCTAGATGGGTAGATGACTGTGGTATAGTGTGGAGACAAGGACCCCGGGGGCTGGGGCGCCTGGGTGGCTCAGATGGTTAAGCGTCTGCCTTCGGCTCGGGTCATGATCCCAGGGTCCTGGGATCGAGCCCTGCATTGGGCTCCCTGCTCGGCGGGGAGCCTGCTCCTACCTCTCCCTCTCCTCCCAACTCCGGCTCTCTCTCACTATCTGTGTCTCTCTCTCAAATAAAATAAAATCTTAAAAAAAAAAAGACCCCGGGGGCCGCCACTGAGTCAGCCTATGCCTGTCTTGGGTATGGTGAGAAAGGGCAGAACCCCACCCCAAGACTCCTGGGGCAGGAAGAGCCTCGGATGGGTCAGGGTTATTCTTGCCCTGAAAGCCGTAAGCCAGGATAAGACTAAGGGAGAAGGAACAGACTTGAGGAGCTTGCTTTTGGGTTTCTGGATTGATTCCCAAAAGCTGGAGTGTGCATTGACCAAACACTGCGAATCTGTAGACATTTCCTCCTTATTACATGCACATGTGCACACAGACTCACTCTTCCCCTCACATTGGTCAGAAAGCACAGACATTCAGCTCAAATTAATGCCACTCAGATACTCATTTAAGCCTTAATTTTATGAAGGCTTAGATTTTCTTAGAAGGCTTTCTTTAAGTTTAAGAAAAACTAAATTGGTAAATTTCTTCTCAAACTTGTCTTTGCAGCTGATCATAGATTTTTAAATCCCTGTCAGCACCAGGCAAGGGGAATTCAGCCATGGACAAGACAGTCAAAGCTCTTGTGCTCTGGGAACTTCCTGTCTGGTGTTTATGCAGCTTCTCGTGATTACTGCTACCAAGAAAGAACAGGGCGCAGTGACAGAGGACAGAGCCATGGGTATTGGGGGAGCTTGGCAGTTTCGAAGTGGGAGGGACGGGAGAGGAGAGTGCAGAGAACAGGTGGAAGGCCGTTGTCAGGAGAGATGACGTCGTAGCTCCAAGGAGGCAGGTGCAGTGGAGAAGAGCCTCTCCTGGTCATGGATACAACAACACTGTTCCGACTTCAATGGGAAGGTCTGGCTGATGCTTTCAGCTTTGGAAGTCCCCTCGCAGAAGAGGGTGAGGGTTTGGGCCCCCATGGATGACCCAGGAGCATGAAGCAGGTGGCCATCTTTGAGAATTACAATAAAAAGAGACCCATTTGGGCTTTTCTCATCAGAGGTAGACGGTACATCCTTATGTTTCAGATATCTGTTGCCGCTCAGAGCTTCTTCCAGCTCCAGGCCCTTCTCCAGGCAGATATTTAGTAAAGTGTTGGTTGGTTGTCTTAGTGTTGGGCTTCTTAGTAAGCTAACTCATGAGGCGTTGCTATGAAACATTCAGCAACCTGCTGGCTTCTCATTTGCTTTCATGGGCATTTTCATTGGTTAAACATTAGTCCAGTGTTTCCTGGCCTGGTGCAAACCCCTAGTGGGGTTATTTTTGACCAGGTATGCTGTCCTCCCCGCTGTGGCATATTGGTTTCCCCTGGTGGGTCAGCTGTGGTCAGCTGGTGGTGGCTTTTAGATCAACTGGATCCACTGGGAAAAAGTGCATCAGGAAGAAGAGCTGCTGTGGCTGGTTTTCGATGTCTGCCTGGGGCACGGAACGGGGCGACAGGGAACGCTTGGTATCTGCCACCGTGGGTCTAAAGTTTTCTTGTCAGTTCTTGGCTGTCCTCATGCTACGTATTCAGACCCCTTCCAGTAGAAGCTCTGACTTGGAGATTGGCCTCAGAGGTAGTCCATCGCCATCACCTGCTGACACTGAAATTCTCAACCGTTTCTCTATGAAATGAAGCTCCCTTTTGTTTCCCTAAACCCCAGCCTGGAGGGTGATGTTTGTCTTTGCCAGGGTCAGCCATTTATTTCAGTTAGCTGAAAAATTTGATGCCATTGAAACCCAGCTATCGTTAAAAAAACCAAGGCCTCTGTTCTTTGTGTGATCTTTTAATTTACCACCGTATTCTACAACAGATAAATTTGGGGGGATGCAAAGCAGAAGACACCGGAGTTTGTGTAGCGGTTAGAAGTTGTTGATTTTGCCAGCCTCCTTGGGAGCACAAGGACTCCTGTGCACAGCAGGAGGTGCATGTCGCCCCTTGGTGATGGACTTGGTAGCCCGAGGAGGCATGATGCCAGGGACACTGGGGCTCCGGTCTCTGGCTCACCTCTGCAGAGGTCTTACTTAGTCCCCATTGGTGGGGGAATCCCATGAGGGACCCTGGCCCAGCCCTAGTTTTTCTCTTCAGTGCTTCTCTTGCAAATCCTGATCACACAGCATTTTCTTTTTCCTTGGTCTTTTTTTTTTTTAAGATTTTATTTATTTATTTGCGAGAGAGGGAAGGAGAAGACACACAGAGGGAGATGGAGCAGCGGAGCCCACTGCGGGACTTGATCCCAGGACCCTGGGATCATGACCTGAGCTGAAGGCAGACGTTTAACCGGCTGAGCCACCCAGGTGTCCCTGTTTCCTTGGTCTTTAAAACCAATACCTTCAAAGAGTCAGAGGCCCCCAGTGTCTCCTGTGGGGTCAGCCATGTGGGAGGACCACAGCTGACAGGGAGAAAGCAAGGCTTCACCCAATGGCCAGGGAACCAAGTAGGCCATTCATGGTGGGAAGGTGTGGACTACATTGTAGGGTAAGGACTCCGGGAAGCCCTCAGGAGCCGTTTGTGGAGAGGATATTAGATGTGGGCTGGAAGGCCTCCCTACCTCTGCAGCCCTCTGCACTCCTTCCTCCCACCCCTCAGCGTCCTCCTTCGGCATCTTCAACAGCCTGTCTTCTCCCTCGCCTCCAGGCCTCTGCACGCACCCGTCACTGTGCTTGAAGCCCCTCTCCATCTGCTTCCCTGGGTGCTATCTCCTCACTCTCTGGTCTCAGCTTAGCTGTCCCTGGAAGGTTCCTCTGGCCTCCTGAAGACGAGATTCATTGCCTTCTAAGTGTTCCACCAATGCTTGTACATGTCCCCAGCATCTGTTATTACATGTGATGCCATAGCTCCTTGTTTGCCTTACCCTTCTCCCAGCACTGTGGGTTCCTACAGGGCCATTAAGCACTCTGGGCCCAGCACGCGGCAGGCACGATGCCTGCACGTTGTGGGTGCACGTGGGAGCACACACAGCAAGGTAGGAGGCCCTGACTGAGGTCCAAACAGTGGAGGGCCCCTGGGGTGCAGTTCTGGGTGCACACGAGGCAGGTCACCTGTCACTAAGTGAGCCGTGCTTAGAATCCTGTGACTTCTTTTCCAGGTAGTCCCTTCAGAGTTCCCGTGAAGGATGTCGTGGACCCGAGCAAGGTCAAGGTTGCTGGCCCCGGGCTGGGCTCTGGTGTCCGAGCCCGCATCTTACAGTCCTTCACAGTGGACAGCAGCAAGGCTGGCCTGGCCCCTCTGGAAGTGAGGGTCCTGGGCCCACGAGGTGAGTGTGCATCCTGCCTTCCTGCCAGCATTCTCCTGCTCCAGGTGAGGGCAGCCGTGACCCGGCGGGCACTTGACTTTGGAGTTTGGTTGTGAACTTAAAATTGAATTTCCTAAATTACTTTATTGCTCCATATTCTAGCTAAACAGGAGAAGCTCCTGCTTTTATTTATTTTTAAAAGATTTTATTTATATATTTTGAGAGAGAAAGTGCACCCAGGCTCACGTGTGCACATTTGTGAGTGGGGGGAAGGGCAGAGGGAGAGAGAGAACCTCAAGCAGACTCCCTGCTGAGCACGGAACCCGCTGAGGGGCTCATTCTCATGACCCTGAGATTAAGACCTGAGCCGAAATCAAGAGTCAGATGCTTAACCGACTGAGCCACCAAGGCACCCCGAAACTCTTGCTTTAAAAAGCAGGCAGATCTCTTATTTCTCTAGTGTTCTTTCCCCCATTTAATAATATGGCTCTAAGTGAGTTTTTAAATTTTTTTTTTTTTAAAGATTTTATTTATTTATTTGACAGAGAGAGACACAGCAAGAGAGGGAACACAAGCAGGGG